ATTTTTTATTTTTTATTTTCTTTTTCTTATTTTTTTTTTCTTTTGGCTTATTTTTCATTACCTATGAATTATGAATTTATTTATATGTATATATATAGTTTCTAGATCGTGATATTTATCTCGATCACAAGACCAGATTACGGGCGATTAATTATAAAGACGGTCGCACGAAAAGGCTCTCGAGTAATCTTTCACGATCATCGAACATATAGATCAAAGTCGCAGTTCTCCATGTCTCGATAAGATCAAAGTGGATAAATACGTCTGCGTGTAGATAAAATACACGTATATATATATATGTGTGTATAAGTTTCCTGTATTTATATATAGATATATATATATATATATGTATGTATGTATGTATGTATGTATATACACATATACACACACATACACACGTACGTAAAGTTATTTAAATTACATCTAGAAATAGTATCGTTAAAATAAATTAGTAATCAAGTTAAAAAATATATTTGCAAAAAGTTATATACATATACCGAAGACAAAGTTTTACATTTCAATAATAACGATTTTCTAATAGTATCATTAATGAAAATAATTTTTAACTATATGGATTATATACAAAACATATAATACGGATAATAAAATTTCGCATCAAAAAGTACAATTTTATCGGTTATAATTAGAAATGATTTTAAGAAAATCATTTTATGGTATCTGTTAGCTAAATTGATAGATATTTAAAGCGGCTTGGCATAAGTGCCGTAACTATTATGTGTGTATAGATACATGTACGCGTATATAGGAATGAAGTGGATGGTACCAGTTAGTACCATACCGCAACGAGCCACGATTCGTACTTCAATTACATATATTTTCTTTCAACCGCTATCATTCAAGATCGCGCCGTGCCGTCCGTATTTTTTTTCCTTCTTTTATTCTCTCTTTTTTTCTTCTTTTTTTGTTTTCTTTTTTTTTTTTTTATCATCAGTCGTTGAACTTTTCGAAACGAATCGTAAAACTCTTTCGAAGGGATAATTTAGAAATCGAGAAATAGTTGTTATCTATAAGTAATCAGAATTTTCAATATTTTATATCTGAATAAAATAAAAATAATAATACGATTTTAATAAACATTAATAATAATAGTTATAATATGGCATTTATCAATTGATGATAAAATTAAAAAAAAAAAAAAAAAAATTCTGACAGAAAATAATAATAAATCGTTATAGTATTTTTTATTTAAGTATAAAATAGTGACAATTATATTTCCGTCATTGCGTATAATTTTGTCCAATAAAAATAAAATAGAAAAAATTATTAGTAAAAGATATCAAGTAAAATAGTAATTATATTTATAATACAAAAGTACTGAAACTTTTTGACATAACTCCATCGATCATTTCGATAATATTGGATTCAATTTCTTATCAATTTATCAAATTTTGACTTATTCACACAATCCTCATGAATTATTAATTGTTTGAATTATCTTTAGACATTAAAATATTGATCTGCAAACAAATTGATATGCGATGAAGTAAAATCGATTAAAGTAGTTGCATAGTTGCATAATCGGTTATTCTAGGAAGATAACGAGTCATGCAACCGTAGAGAATGCTTTATACCATAAATCTTTTTTTAATTCGATCGACCCGACCATGAAGCTCTTTATTTAGTCTAATCTCTATGCTTGCGTTATCCTCGCTCGTAAGCTTCACTCGATTAATTGAGATTTTTTTCGTTTTCTTTATCAGTCTCTCTATTTTCGAATAGAGCATTTATAGAGATGATTTTATTCATTCATGCTATTGTTTCCATTGCATTTTTCTTTTTCTTTTTTCTTTTTTCTTTTTAATAGCTATATCGATTCAAGCAAGAGGAAAAGTAAAAGAAAATATTAATTCTAAATTAGAATTATTTCAAATTGCAAACAATTATTCAATATTAAATAAATAAATAGTATAATGTTAATAAATAATCGTCGTGTTTGCGTCGCATACAAAAAAAAAAAAAAAAAAAGAAAGAATCATAAATACAAAATAAAGAATGTAAGAGATTTTAAAAGAAATGAAAAAAAAAAAAACTTTATATTAAGATGTAAATATTATCGCAAGAGTGCATTGAAATACATAATCGTTTCGTAGTTAGTGCAATATCATCCTTAAATACTTTAAATCGTTTCCTCTTCAACGATATTGAATGTTACGAAGGTTGGCGAGTTTTCCTGCGCACGATGTTTCGAGATAACGGAAGAAAAAAATGAACGGATCGGTCGGTACTGCATTTAATTGGATAATACCGAACAGAGTGTTACGGGCTAGCGATCGAACCTTGTTGGTCCTCTTCGTTGGCATTCACTTCCTCTTCCGCATCGTTCTAGTACGTATCCGCTTTTCCGTTTGCTAGGTAATCGACATGCAACGGATCGGTACGATCATTGTGACATCGATACATTTCATCTAAAGCTTTCTCTCTATAATTAAAACTTCTTTTCTTTTTATTTTTTAAGAGAATGATTTTTCTAGATATTTTTTATATACATATATATATATATATATATATATATATATATATGTTATATTATATGTATATAAAAAATGTATATATATATATATATATATATGCATTCCTTCCCTAGAAGAAATTATACTTTTATATAATTATAAATAAAATACTGTGATTACTCGATCGACGGAGCATTTAATAATATAGTGAGATAAATTCTTGTATAAATTCTAACAAATGTTATATCATTATAATATTTATAATAATAATTGTATAAAAGTAAAATGTCATTTAGAAGTAATATTTACAATGTATATGTTAGTATATACACAGATATAAGAGAAATCGGCGAATAATCGTGCGCTCGTTAAAAGCAAGAAAAAAAAGAAAAAAAAAAGAAATCCTTTTTACAGACGTGTTCATTGAACTTTATCAATCCCGACCATTGAAGATTTCTCGCAGAAAGTGAAATTATTTTTATTTCTTATTTTATTTCTTCTGTCGGCATAAACCAGATGAAATCGCATAACTCTTTGAAATTCTTTTGTGAACGTTACGATAAAGTTAGACGAGTCATAGCTGATGTCACGCTATCACGATGATAATCTTGATCATTTACGACGAAGCACGTGCACGAATCATGAAAATCTATAGTTCTTGCAAATCTAATCGAACAGTCCTGTGATAACAAAATGATAACAAGAAAAAATGAAACACAAAATGTACAGGATAAAAAATAATAACTCGCGTGTTTACAGAAACTTATTTAGATCTTCATTTCTTCACATTGGATCCTCAAATTCGAAATAAATAAATTATTTTTTCTTTGTCATCTTCTCGTTCGTATAATATAAATAAACTATAATATATATATATATCGCTTTTTTAAATATTGTAATAAATAGTAATACATCTTCATCGAACATTTCATTATATAAATTATATAATAGCTCTTTAATCTCAATAATTAATTATTTAAAAAGAAATATTTTATCTTTATTCAATTATAATCGTTGTTTGCTCGTTGAAATCTAGATACTAGTAAATACATTTCTTTATTTATCTACATTTAAAAAAAAGGAAGTAAAATCATATTAATTTATAGATTATCGCAAAAATATCTTTTTTAATAATTATATTGATTCCTTTTTATATTACAATCGTTATACACGTTATCTAATGTTCATTTTTTTTACCTATCAATTTGCGGTAATAATTATAAAATAAAATTTGTTTCATTTTCTCTTTGCGCTTATTTTCCACTGCTACCCTCCTTTCTGATTCACCATTCTTGTAGTCTAAGTAACTGTACTAACATTTCCTGTATCTCTAAATTGGTAAGGCGATCCCTGTCGAGTCGAACGGCGAATCGAACTGTATCGAAGGTCAGAATGAACCTATCCACTATACCTGATCTTCTTCGTATTCAATACATACACACACATTACATACACTGTACATATATATACACACACATATACGTTGATGTACTACATATGTATATGTACTAGTTCAATAGAGTTACTGGTATTCCAGTCGCGTATGTGCCACGGAATGCGAGTACTGTTCATACTGGGCTTCCATTGCGTATCAGATTGTATGTATTTCAAGAGAACTCATACGAATATGTTATATCCAAGCTGAACCCTGAAATGGTATCGTTACTGGGAGGTCTCCTGACGTTTTGAACGAACATCTGCCGATATTTATTCGACACTTCATTTTCAATCACCATTAATTCCTTTGTCATCTTAAAAGCTTATAATAATGTTACGATAAAATGCAATGATATCAATCATCTTTAAGTCTAATTAATACGACATCAGATATCAGATATCAGAATAAAATTTATATTCATAAATATAACATTGAATTAAATAGAAAATTAAGTAATCAAATACATAGAGAATAATTCGTTCACAATGGACGATTATTATAGGGATAAATCACGATAGAAATCTTCTATCATAAAATATCGTGTCTTGAGACATTTTTAATTAATACGATACAAATTAGGATTATATATAGTTTCTTATCGTTCTCATAATGAATATAAAAAGTATAAAATTAAAAAGAAAAAAAAAAAAAAGAGAAAAGAAAAAGTAAAATATTTGATTTAATTAAATACTGTTTTATACTATTATGATACTTAAAACAAATTCTGATGATGATAATGGTCATTAAAAAATATTATAGCACGAGACAAGAATTTTCTAAGTTATTTCAAAGTTTTTAAATGATAAAAATAAAAATCAATTAGAGTTTTTTGTCTCAAGAAAAACCTTTGTCTGAATAAAATTTTTGTTTTAATTTGTGAATACTTTTAAACGTAAGAACTTTTCATAGATCCTTTAAATATTGTTATCAGTTAGATGTAATTTTAGCTATAATATTAATTGATACGTTATTAATTACATTATCGAACAAAGATACAAAGGTTATAATATGAACAAAAAATATATATATATATATAGTAAGGAAAGAAACATGATTATGATTATAATGATGATGATGGTAATGATTTTTAGGCGAAGGATGCGTCGAAAAGCCAGTGTCGACTTTATGGCGGAACTATGTGACCAGCAGCAGACCCGATGTTTCTATGAGGTTGACAGTAACCAATGGTGGTTTAACTGCCACTACAAAAGACCATGGCTTGACGGAATATTGGGCTCATAGGGTCACTTATTGCACAGCACCAGTGTCACATCCACGTTTATTTGTTTGGGTATACAGACATGAAGGACGTAGACTTAGGCCTGAATTAAGGTGCCATGCTGCATTATGCAGCAAAGAGTCTACTGCGAGAAGGTTAGCATCGACATTGAATGCTAGGTTACAACAGGCCCTTCTTGAATTTCGCAGGGACAAGGTCTCTAGGCAAAATGCTAGGTAAGAGACAGAGAGAGAGAGATTGTTTTTTATATTGTTAGAATAATATTAAAATTGTTTTAATAACTAAGCAAAATACATTTTTGAATTATGTGCTTTAGATGACGATATTTGTGCAAAAATTTTAATACGTATGTACTTATTCATATATATATATATATATATATATATATATATATATATATATATATATGATTTATAATCCGTGCAATTGAAAGTATGAAAATTTGTTAACAATATTAATATATCGTTTTTAGTTTATATAGATTATAATTCATGTTTATATATATTAATGATTATAAAAGTGAGTTTTATGTTATATATTTGAAATTATTATAACTCAATATAAATGACTATTATTTATTTCTTGAAAAATTTTAACTTTAAACCATCTGAAAAATTTTACTGACATATATATATATATATATATATATATATATATATATATTATATGTATATATGTATGTATACATATAAAAAAGTTGTTATAAATTCAGCTTCTTAGAATTGATATTCTATTCATATAAAAATGTGAAAGGTGCATAAATACATAAATAAATAGAGTGAAGAGATGGCCTTAGTGTTTGTTTTGGGCAGTGGCTTGTATGGAATGGTGCGATTATCTATCATCTTTTTTGTTGAAGTGAGATAAAATAAATGTACGATAGATATAAAATGTCTCGTGTAAAATGTCTCGTGTATGGAAAGGACCTTCAAAGATCAAGGGTAATCGGAGATTCTTCTCGTGTTTGCGTTCAAAGTCTCGCAAAGTCTTGACCTTCGCGGAAAGGTAGAATTCAGGTCACGTTTCTGGCGTGGATCGCCACAAGCGGAGGATCGAGTCACGATTCGGGTCGAAATGATCGTTAATGTGCATTCGGGTCATAGATTCCACGACGTTCTTCTATTAAGTTAAACGAGTTTTATTCGCTTTCTCGTATATTAGCTCGAGTATTTACATCGATATATCGATTCTGTTATATAAGAAGACAGATGATCGTTTAGACAAGGTTACAGAATTTCCGTTCTTTTTTCCTTTTTTTCCCTTTTTTCTTCTTTTTTCTTCTTTTTTTTTCTTTTTTTTTCTCTTTTCTTTTTTTTTTTTTTTTTTTTTTTTAATTGTTTTATTTTTCTAGAAGACTTATTGTCATCGTCAAAATTAAAAATGAATTAGATACAAGACGTATGCGTCATTCAGTCATTCAAGATTTTTTTGTACAATGGCTATTTTATATTGCAACTTTTTTTATTATTGTTCGTTGTCGAAAGAATCAGATAAAATGAAAATATCTTTCGAATGGTTTAAAAATTAAAATATAAAATAATTTTTTAAAAGATCGTTTCAAGTATAGATATTATTTTTATGACGGTGAGAATATAAATCTAAAGCTTAATTCTATTATTCTCAATAATATCAGAAAGTTATATATTTAAAATATCAATTATTAGATCTTTCTTTATTCGTATTAATTCGAGATTTACACGAAGCTTTTCGTAGTAAATTGAATTAACTCGTTATATTTTAATATGAATGGCAAAAATATTGAATAAAATTAAATATGAATAATTTTCATTTCACAGATTGTCCTTGGCCAATGCTCTCTACGAAAATCCTTCGTTACCAAGGAGAAAGCTTTTATTGAGTACAGGTGGTCAGAATTATCGGCCACCTTTAGAAAGGTCGAAAAGTGCACCGAAACTTTCGGCGATCGAGGAGGATGCCGTTGCAGAAGAGATTGAACAACAAAGACTTCTCGAAGAATTGAGAACGTTAGAGACCGTAGCCAGAAGTTGGCAAGATCAAGATGGCTGGAGATTGGCACGTCTTTTGGATGCACTCAATCGAGAATCTTCCGATGAGAATGGAAGTATCTCAAGTGGATGTGAGACAGCTAGTACAGCAACGAGCGAGGAAAGAACAATTGGACCTGAGGATCATCAAACGACTGGTTAGTATATACTGATTGTTTTTTTTTTCTTTTTTTATATAAAATATTTTTAAATTATAAATTAAAATTAAAATAATTAATTCATTTATATGAATTAACAACTTGAAATTCTTTTCTTTCTTCATAAAAATACGATATGGGATTACTATCGGTTGTTACGAATTTATTTAAAATAAATATTAGGTTGGAAATTATGAAACGGGCGTTGAATCGAAATAAAAAACTAAATAAAAACGCACGTTTCATAATTTACAACCTAATAATATCCATTCTTTTTTCTTTTTTTTTTTTTTTTTTCTTTTTTTTTTTTTGAATATTCAAAATATATCTAGCAATGAATATTACAATCAAAATAAAATATTATTTTATCTTCTTTCTAAATGATATAATGTAATATTTCTAATTAGTATTATGAATACTTTTTAAATATTTCATATTTAAAATTAATCTTTAAAATGGATCATTCGTAATAGAGTTATATTTTTGAAAGAACAACATCTAATAAAGATAATGATCGATTAAATTTTTCGATTTAGGTGAGACAGAGCATCAAGCAAATGCGAGGATCCTTTATACAGAGGAGAATGAAATAGGAAGGGATACCGGACCACGAAGGAATTCCGAAGGTTCACCGAATTTCATGACGTGTGCCGGTAGTCCACGTTTCCATCGTTGCAACGTTAAACCGAATCGAAAGAGGTTCTCATTGAGAAGCGAAGAAGATGAATCAATGGAAGAAGAGGAAGAAGAGGAAACCGAAGACACCGCTTCGAATCTTTTTGATTTCGAGGACGTCGAGGATTTCGACGATGTGGTGGATTATAGACCGAGGGGTGAGATACTTTGTAGAATTGAAAATACAGAGGAAAAGGAGAGGCGAATATTGGAAAAATATCCAAGCCGATTGAGCCGTCAATTGTCACAGAACGATGAAAGTACGTTTTTGACGTTGGATTCTCTCGACGAGGAAGCAGATAGCGATGAAAGTGGTTACGTTGAAGCACCACCTAAATCATTTCTTGGACAGGAAGATAATAGGAAGGAGGAGAGTAATAAGTTCGAAAATTCCAAGAAAGAGCTTGACGTTATTGTAGATAATAAATCGAACGATAAGTTCGAGCAGAAGGACGAAAATATGACAATTGAGAAAAAGACAGATGATAGGAAGCAATTGGACGTAGATTCGAATGATCCTATTCACGTGATCGATGATAATCAAAGGATCAAAGATAGAGAACGCGAAAGGGCAGAGTTTATAAAGTGTCCTATCTCAGAGACGATCAAGAAGTTAGCCAATGCCTCGTTAAGAAGCTCCAAATCATTGGAAATCACGACGAATAGTTGTTCGAAGGCATTGAATAATCTCAAAACGTCCAAATCCTTCGATGGTACCGTTAGGACCGAAAACATCGAAGCAGAGTCACCGAGTTTATTACAAAGAAAACAATTGTTAGCTCAGCACGGTGTTATCGTTTAAAATAATGAAAAGGAGAGAAGCCCTATTTTTCTTTCGTTTGAAAATTTTATTTTTTCTTGTTTTTTTTTTCTTTTCTTAAAATTGTTTTTCTTTTTCTTTTTTTTACTTTTTTGTTTTTTTAGAGAGAGAGAGAGAGAGAGAGAGATCCAACATATATATAAAAAGAGAGAGAGAGAGAGAGAGAGAGAGAAAGAGAAACAATCGAATGGCATTGTCGCAGTGTCCAGTGCATATCGTAAATTGTTGCTAGGAAGAACGATTGATCACTTTAACAAGAGATACATTTTCAATGTAATTCCGTAATGTACTAAACGGTACATACATACGTGAAAAGAAATTTTTAGCGATTTAATTAATTACCAGTTTGATTTCAAACTTATGCTCGTCTTTTTCGAGCTTAAAGATGAAAAATCGTTTGATTTTTATACCGTCATTTTATCGATTTGTTACGGTTAACGAGATAGAGAGAATAAAAGTGTACTTATTGGTTTAACTTTATACGTTTAAACGGATAATATGTCGTCTATACAAATCGAATGAAATTTTTCACTCTCTAATCTGAAACACTACAAGAACTTGAATATATATTTCTATCCTGAAAGATATATACTTGGTCCTCTCTTGAAAAATACATTTTAAAACTAAAATAGTCATTATAATTATTATATTTAAACGTTCGCCTAGATCATTGTCATTTAGATCATTGTCATTCCCATCTTGTGTCTTCTTTTTGCATATTAAAAATTCATATTTTATCATTGAACATAAAATTTATTAATATAAATGGATCATGCGTGTGTCGATCATGGATTTAATTAAATCGTATAGTTATTTAAATGATTATTATTCTTTTAATTATGGAATACAGTTCTTAACACGAGAACCGTGCCATATACCATTAAAAAATCAGCCTTTTTCATAAACACAAATCTCCCTTTTTTTTTCTTTTTATTATTATTACAATCCTATAATAACAACTTCTAATCAGAATTTATCGAGATTCGGGAAAAGGGGGTAAGAAAAAAAAATTATTGCAATTTCAATGTTATCATCGTTTTACTTGATAAAACATATTTTATGACAATTTAGAATGAAATACATTATTGATTACCGTTGTACAAGTAATACAATAAATAAAAATATCAAATAAAGTCTACCTTAAGTCCATTGAAATAGTTACAATATTTTAAAAAAGAAGTGTATACGTCGAGAAACATATAACTTGGAAGAAATTAATCGCATAAATGATATATATGCACAAATCCTAATCGAGTGCAGTAAGAGTATTAAATGGTAATTATTAACAATAAGTCATTAAATATATACATACTTTAAATATAGATCTAGGTCGAACGATATGATAGAAACTTTTTTTTTTTAAATTGCACGATTTTTTATTTATATCTATGATAAGAATGAGTAATACGAAAACGTGACATAATTAAAAATCTATACGATCTATACGATCTATGATTCAGACCTATAATTTTAACTCGAGGAACATCTCTTACCATAATTTTTACGAAGTAATTGACTTTTTCAACAAATGTATCAAATGTTTTAACGTTAATCGATGCTGCAGCGAACTGCATTATCAACAGACGGTAACACGACAAAATTAATAATAGTTTTATATTTTTTATGTTACGCAACAGTGTCGGTTAAAACTCTTTCTTTGCAAAAGAGTAAATCCGGTTATCATCTTTCAGGCGTATATTGTATTTTATAATTTTTTTTTCAATATGAATGTAAATATTATGTCATAAAATAATAAAAAAAATATTGCATATAATCAATGAAATGTACAGATATATATAACAAAAATAAAATAATAACAACAGTTTTAAACGAACGAAACGTATAAACACATTTCACTCGAGGACATAAAGTTATCAGGTTAACACAAACTTAACGCATAAAAATAAGCGAATTCTTTCTAACTCATAAAATCAGTGCGTCACGACTCATGCACCTTAATGAAGATTGTAACGCGACCAAAGGAGAAAGTTAAATGTCTCGACGGAAGTATTCGACAAAAATCGAGAAAGGATAGAGCGTGATAGTTTCCCGAGAGGCATCGACATGATATTATAAACATTCCAATAAATAACTTTTACTAAATTTCCAATCGAAATGTCTAAAGAATAAAATACAAATTTCGCGCAGTTAAAAAGGCAGAATAAAAATTGTAAAAAGAAAAAGAAGGAAGCAGAATTTCTACAAAATCTCTCTAAAAATAATTCGTATTAAGAGAAGGAAGCGAACGAATCAGATGTTATTTATTTTTTTTTTTTCACTCTTTCATAGGTGATAGTAAGCGGGAGGAGGGAAAAAGAAACAGAAGAAGAAGAAGAAGAAGAAGAAAGAGAAAAAAAGGAAAGAAATAAAAAAAAAAAAAACAAAACAAAATAAAACTATAAACTTTGGGAAGAGTCTTCTTGTTTGAACCGTTAAAGGTTAAGAAGGCGAGAGAGGTACGTATAGAGAAGAAGGAGAAACGAAAGAGACTGCAATCCGAGTAAGGCCTTGCGTCGTGTCAAGATCAAGGTACATCGTGGTGTCCGATTCCGTGCTTGGCTCTCTCGTTGTGTCGCGTTTTGTTGCGTCGTCTTGTATTATGTGTAAGCGCAAACGCTCGCGCGTATTGCCTCAAGCCATAGGTATGACCTACTAAAGGCTTCTACGAGCGAACGAGTGCGCCCACACGTATGGACTCGATCGACGTCGAAGCATTCTTGTCAACGTGATTCCTTCTTTTCTTCTTCTTCTTCTTCTTCTTCTACTTCTTCTTCTTCTTCTTCATTACATAAATCTTATCATTTCGAACTACTATTTTGTAAGATAATTAACAAAAGGAAGGAATCGTACAATTTAACAAGACAAAGGTTTCATTCGACTTCTAGAATTGGAAGTTAAGATGTTTTGTTTTATTTGTATATGTGTGTAGAGTTTGCGTCTTTCTCTCTCTTTCTCTCTCTTTCTGTTTGAAGAAAGAGCAAGTGGTGGGGAGACGAAGGGGCCGGACACGTGGGACACCATAGGCTCGACTCGTAGAACCCCCGAGCGCACCGATACTCCGCGCGCGTTGCGAGCCTCGCGAGTAGTGTTAACGGCCTTGCTTTATGTGGGTCATGAAACAAGGTCCCACCAACGACGAGAACCATGCGAGAAGCCAACAACGGCGCGACCGCGACTCGATAGACTCGCGAGAGAACGATCGAGCATAATCGATAAGGGATTCTTTCATTGTCTTTTCGTATTAGTAGTTCCTCATACAAATGATGTTTTTGATATTTTTTATTTGTTCATTTACGATCATTCGTTTAAACGTAAAAATAAATTTAATCGTCTACGATTGATTTTAACAATATTGAATAATATTGATAACAAAGAAAAAATAAAATTACAGTTAAGAAACAAAATGGCGACGGTGATAATAAAAATGGAGAATAATAATAATAATAATAATAATAATAATAATAATAATAATAATAATAATAATAATAATAAAAAGAAAGGAAGAAAAAAAGAAAAATTTTAATTTTGTGATAATTAGAAGGAAAATGTGTTAAAGGATACGCGTTAATAAGAAAACATTTTCAGGAAATATAACGAGTCTACATTTGTTTTCAATTAACGTACTTCGTACGGTGATTCTAAACGACAAGTTTGACGTTAATCGATGCTTTGTCGTTGTTCTTTATTTTTTCTTCTTCTGAAACCCATAAGGTTTTCACCGTGCGTCCCTCGCGTTAGCTACGATGCCAAGAGAAATCGAAGTTGATCGTTAAGCGCACCGCGACGTGAGCTCGGCCCATTAGCCGCATTTGAGGTTCCTACGTCGTTGAAACACAACAAAAGGGATTTAACGGGGTTTTCGTTAATGACATCTCTCAAAGAGTTACATTTTTTCAAATTCTCATGTCAGTGAACGGGTCTACCGATCGATTGATGTTCTCGTTAAAAGAAAAGGAAAAAAAAATATATATATATATATTATTGAAGATATTTAATATAAAATAGAATTTTTATTTTTATCATTATGATAAAAATTGATTATTTTCAATAATTATTTATTTATCTAATCTACGAGAAAATATTACAAAGTTATATACTTTAATATATCTAATAATTATTTTTCATTATACATTAATTATAAATATTTATTTTTCAATATATAGAAATTACTAATAATAAGATAGAGTAATTATTATCTAAAGTAATTATAAATAATCTGATTTAAATTCGTTTAAAATTTGGACATAATATATGATATTAAAAGTTTGTCTTTTTAAAGTAGACATAAAAAATTTGATTGAAAAATTATATCGAAAAGAAATAGTATTAAATTGTTGCTCTTAAGATACGTCATTGTTTAAAGTTATCAAAAAATCATAATAAAAATTAAAATAATATTTTAACTCTCACGTAAATAGGTAACACGTAGATGGATATATTCGAGTCCATACACACGTGATAATTAGGAATTCCTTTTTTAAATGGATCATCAAGATAAGGGCAAGAACAGCTAGATACACATCCATTCGGTGTGTGCGACGAATTCTTAACTGTATTTCTCTTTCTCCCTACTCTCTCTCTCTCTCTCTCTCTCTCTCTCTCTCTCTCTCTCTCTCTCTCTCTAACTCAACTGCTTATTTCCATGTCCAAGAATTATGAAAGCAAGTCTTCAAACGTCGAACATCATCGTCGAACAAATGTACCCGAACGATTCAGTTCAAGTATATAATTAACGAATCATTAATTAATTCCTATCAACCTCATCGAAGTCGTGAATTTGAATAACATGAGTTTCTATGAATGATATATTGATTTATTTTGCCAGAAGTAAATATTTCAAATCATGCAAAAAGCATGAGTATACATACTCAATGTCGAAGGTATCCGAAGATTGCCGAAGATAGCCGTAGATAGTCGAAATTATTATTCGTTTGATCATGCCGAATTACTCGAAAATACGCTATCGTCATCATCAATACTATTCGGTCGTCATGGTCATCGTCATCGTCATCGTCATCTCTCTCTCTCTCTCTCTATATATATATATATATATATATAATTTATAATAAATATTTCAAATCTTTTCTGCTATTTAAAAAATTATATATATGTATACAAATCTATAATCTTTTATAAATATATATATATAATATGTATACATAATAATTGATAATAATAATTAAAACTTTGGAGCAGACCAAGCGAAAATCTTTTGACACAATCTCTTAGTAATGTTGCGTCGAGAGAAGCCCAAGAGACGATGAGAACTTTACCACGGTAATATGGAGGATCCCATTACGAAGTTGGACGCACGATTCTGCGTTTACCTTACCTACAACCATATACTCTGTACAGTCGGTCCATTGAGAAGGAGCTCAAAATGTAATTGTGTGAACCGTACCATTCGCATGATTCGAATCGCCTTTAATTATTCGGCCATCTGTGAAATTCTCTTTTCGTCGCTAACTTTTCTCTTCTTTTTTTCTTTTTCTAGAATCCAACAAATAAATAAATGATTCTAATATAATTACGATTTATATTTTTACGATTACATATATATATATATATATATATATATATATATATATATATATAATAATTCACTTATATATTTTGACGATCCTATAAAGTACGTCTAATATAAAAATATTATTAATTAATTAGCATATATAATTAGACATAATTTCATATAAAAATAATAATAAAAAATAATTTAATATTATATAAAAGTATATGAATGAAGTAATTAATATTTAACATATATTTTGCAGGTATTTTCTTTTCTTTTAGATATAGGAACAGAATAAAAGTTTTTATTGTATATCATATAAACTAGAGGATAATGATGATTATATATGGATATATCGTCTTATACATTCTTTATCTCTTTTAATTATAGAAATAAAAATGAATATAATGGGATAATAATGACATTTTAATGATTTTTCTAATAATATAAATTTGGATAAATTTGAATCAAAATTTTTTTATTTACTTTTATATCAAGTAATTAATATTACACTTAGTTCTTTAATAAGCTTATACATATGCGTGTATGAATCTACATTGTAAGTACTAACATACATACGATTAGATTAAGAACTCATGAGGAAAATAAAAACGAATAACGCGTGGCTCGACGATGAAGAGAGAAA